GACAAGTCCAGAACTGTCACTCCCACTGCAAACTGAAGCACATTAATTTTGATGCTGTATTCTAACTAGGCTGGGCTATGCAAGAGGAAAAGTTGACATTGTTGGGCAATGTTTTTGTATTAATGAACGACCCATACGTGCATCGGTTGATAATGGATATAACCGTAGCGAATCCTAGTTGCATGGAAATCAACGGTTAACAATAGTAGATTTTCAGGAAAAAAAAAAGTCTTTGCCAAAATGTCTGGATTGCTAGGATGTTGGTTAGAGAGCTTTCATCTAAACAAATCCGGGGACTTAGAACCTAGCAGTTACCGTCCGGCAAGAAAACTTTTACTTCCGTCTACTCTACGCAACCGTGCTATCTATGTACCCACTATGACTGACAGCAGAAAACAATGTATGGAACGATAGGACAACGGAGATCTAGCCCTTAGGTTACTTTTTTCATGCAAGGCGCAGTGTCATACTGCATACAATTTGTTTGTAATCTAAGCTTCAACTTACACATTGATGTTCGTCACTTGCAGAACTTCGATTCCCAAAAGGATAATAGGACTAGCATCTGCAGTGCCCACCATACAAAATGTGTTGCCCAAATAACAAAACATGAGCAGGTTTATTGCATTTCAAAGTAGGTACTATCGCTTGAGATTGAGATTTTCAGGACGAAATATCAATGTTACGCACTGCTGCTCAAACTTTACAAGGATGCATCCAGTTATTTTTAATTGAAGTCGTTTCATTTACGTCTTCCATGCAATGCAGAAAACAAGCAATGACCGTGTTGAAGCAAGTAACAGCTCGTCAAAACATACAAGCAGACAGGCAAAACCAAACGTGTCGTCTTTGGGTAAAAGAAATTTGGAACGCATTACCAAGAATTACCTTCCAATAGAAAACTTTATATCCCGCTCAGGTGTAACAAGGCTTAAACTTTATCATTTTTTTTTCTTTTTTGCGCTTTTTGACTTGCTTAAGCAACCACATTCACGGGAACGGTTTCGGTAGCAGTGATACGTCCACGACGGAACTGAACTTCTTCCACAAAGTCAACAGCATACGATCCAGGCTTGGTATCCTTAGGAATAATCCATTGCTTAGTATAGGTAACAAAGGTCTTTTCCTTGGCTGCAACCGGGCTGTAGAAAAAAAAATCAAAGGAATCAGTATCTAGGACAAGCTAAATCCAGAAGCAAGAGGAATATTTACCATTCTTTATGAATAATGGCGAGCTGCTGTTGCTTCTGGGTTCCCGTGCGTGCATGAAAGTTAATATCCATCTTTAGTGCTCTGCCAGCTGAAACGCCATCTGCCAATTTTTTGTTCACGTTAATACCGTCGTCTCAAGTGGTTGAAAAAAAGAAGTAAAAAGAACGTACTGTAGTTAAGAGGCTGCATGATGTATTTAACTTGCAAAGGTTCTCCAGCGCGAACATCCTGATCCCTGTTGGGTGAGACGATCTTGATAAATGAAAGCTGCGAGTAGATGTCAGCATAGGCTGTTTGCAAGAAAGCCAAAAGGGCGATGGCGAGTATTAATAAAGACTTTGCGAAGTTTGCCATGTTTGTAGACGGGAAAACGAGGATAAGCCGCCATCAAATTACACGATTCTTTTATAGGAGCCAGAGGATGGATACACAAGACAAATTACTCTCTCTTCGAAATCCAAAAATAGCGACTGTTCATCGCTCATCTTTGGTAAGCTCCCACCCGACAGATGTAACACAAGAAATATCAAACCAATTCAAGCAATCCCTCCGTCATGGCATGAGATCAAGTTTGTCCAAAGTCCTTATCCTTCGTCCTATTTTGGCTGGGTATAGGCCTGCAGCCATCTATATGGGAGCTCACAGCTGTTTTTAGCCTACGTGTCGCCACCTAGTGATTCCGTGCAAGCCATGTCAAATTTTGGGAAGCGACCACTTTCGTGGAGATAGGGCATGCTCAGCATAACCAAGGCAACCATTGGATTACTGAAAAGCATAAGTGAATTTTATGACAGACAGCCTGAATTAAAGGATTGACTTGAGGTTCTCTTCTTATATGTATCCCAAACCAAGACAGCTGACTGGTCTAAAATACTGTGCTAGGAAACAGGAAGGTTATGCGTTGAAAAAAAAAATCTAAAATCCTAGATTAAACTTGTAGTACAAATGTGGTAGAATACATGTTGATTCCGAAAGGCTACGTCCGAAAAAGAGTGACGAAAAATGGCTGATGTAAGATCTTCTCGAACCGTTAATTGCGGGTGCAGTTAGCCAAGTCACGGTGGGAATAGCGGATGGACTCCGGAAGGTTGTTAAAGGATGATCCCACGAAAGAGGCAGTATTAGTATCATGTAAATGAAATAATTCTAAGAAAACCTTGATAAAAATAGCAAAGAAAGGGAAATGTATATAAAATTCTTAGATTCCACTTGTAGCAGAAGTCCTATATTTTGCCATCTGCAGCTTATTGTCTGTGGGACCTCTTATCACCATTTTTTTCTGTGCCCTTATGTATAATGTACAATGTTCGATTCATTCACCAGCTATCGGTAGAGTTTAAATACTTTATAGACTAGGAAGGCCTGGTAGCTTTTAACCTGTGCGACTTTCTTTTCTACGCACGCTTGCTGGCCCAGTATAAATCGGTCTCGTGCGGATAGATCCCGTCAAATCCATATTCTGGATCCTCTAAAACAGCGAAGATTTCCTGTCTCAACTTTTCTCGTTCGTCTTCTGACACAACAGCTATATAACTCTTCGTCGTGATACGAGACCACACTGTATCCTTATCCGCAGGGAAGTCATTCGACAATACGGTGTACTTCAACGGTAGATCATATAAAGCATTGGCTTGCTCTGTCTCGAACACCTTCTTCCAACCTCCTTTGAAGTACTGTGGGACGCTATCAGAGTACCTTTCATAGATCCTTTTGATTGGGTGTGTTATATATTGCAACAGCTACCATGGATGCTTACTGTCTTAACTTCGCGACCCATTTGCTTCTAGGCGATTCCATGTTCCAGATGAGAATAATGCAGCCTTGAGGCTTCAATACACGATGGACTTCTTTTAAGCTTTCAATATCATCAAACCAATGGAAAGCTTGCGCAATCACAACAGCATCCTGGGATTCTGATGGAAGAGGGATATTCTGTGCAGTGCCTTCATGACACGGCACACCAGGCAACAATTCTATCAACTTCTTTCGCATGTTTTCCACAGGTTCAACCGCAGTTACACGGTATCCCGATGCTACCAGCAGCTGCGTCATAACACCTGGTCCTGCAGCCAAGTCTAAGACTTGAGCTCCTTGAGGAACGATCTCCTCAATCTTTCGTAGAGCTGTTTCGGGATAGGATGGTCGAGTTTTTGCTGTAGTCCACGTTATTCAAAATCCTTACAATGGCAAGAACGCATTACCATACGCTTCCACTTGCAAATTGAATCCGGTAGCTGCGACCTGATGCATTTCAAATGAGCTTAATGGAGTACGAGACGTGGTTCTGACGAACATGCACTGCCCCTTTTTATCGTATTCTGCATCCGTGGCTGTGACCAACGGATTAAACTTATTCCACGTTTGCCTTTTGAGTGGTCCATCTCTTGGCTGACTCACTGTTCCACACAAGTCAACCTCCCCAACGTCATGTGCAACGATGCTGTCTGCTTTGCCATTGTTAAAGCGTTTCCAGTTTTCAGGACACTGTAAATAACACGTTTATCTTCGAATGTCTAGGTTAACGATCGTATTAGGTGGGGGGTAGCTAATGCAGTAACGTTCGGGAACAAGGCAATGCATCTACAGTATACTAGCTGTGCTACATGTTTAATTGAACTGGGAAACTTCCGAGCAACTAATTTATCATTGCCATTAAACGCACAAGAAATTGGACTCCTTCTTGGAAATAGATAACAGAATGACCGATCGGAATGTCGCGGGTCAGCTCGAAGTAGATACGCACTACATCCTCTGTTCTATCTGTGAGAGCAATTCTGTGCATAAAACTCCAGACAAAAAGAAGCAATGGAAAAATTGTCACAAAAAGAAGAGAGACCGAACGCAAATGCGCGCTTATGTCAGTAAATGCAAGGCACCGAAAGCGAATGATGACAGCAACCATTACTTTTGTTTATTTTACAGCGCTTATGGTTACAATCAAACTATAGTTCAACGTTTTACTGCAATAATAGTGCTTGATCCTCTATAACGATGGCTTTAATCATGTCGAAAAGAGTTTTAGCAAAGAAAAAGAAAAAGATGTGTTATGATTTTGTTGTAGTATACTAAAGATCGTATTCAACTTTAATGATGACATGCAGGTTTCACTTGTTCATTCCGCCATTTGCAAACTAGCATCAGCATTCCCAATATTGTGATGACTGTATTGTTTCCTTCATTGAAGGCCATTTCGCTAATTCAAACCTTTTATACACATCAGACAAAGTTAGCACCATTTTAAAAAAGACAGTTTCCTTGCACTACATCTTATTACCCTTAGTTTGAAAACTGGAAAATGATAGTTATTCTTCCTAATTTTCTCTTGTACTAGCAATTCCGCATCTCCTTTTTACCGTGATCAGCTTTTTATTAATTTAAACATCTAATGAGCTATGTTTTCACGATCTTGCATTCAGCTTATAAAGAATGAACAATACTTTATTAACCACACCTTCAAGCAAACTTTCATACTAAATTGATAGAATATATTATATAGCTTTGCTTTAATCATATTGCTTATATGTTAAATTAACTTTATGGAAATTATATAAGGTTACTTCTAAGGAATTATTATATTTTTTTTTCATATAAAAGTTAATTCTAAATAATCAATTGCTTCTTCTCGTTAATGTAAGCTCCTCTAATGAACACAAACCATATCTTTAGAATATAAACGGTTTCGAAATTATTAGATTGTTGCATTATTTAAAATTAGCATTTAGTTTTAAAAACTATGTTATACTAATAATTTGTGTCATGTATATACTAAACTTCTTAGCATTCAACAAGTCAGTTTGTCCGAGTGGTTAAGGAGCCAGACTTGAAATCTGGTGGGCTTCGCCCGCACAGGTTCGAACCCTGTAGCTGACGATTTCTTTTTGGATTATGTCGTGTCGTATGTCGGAGCCAGAATCGGCGCATTAATGAAAGACTCTTTTTACTAAAGCCTTCCAAGAAGGGCCTCGAAGTTGCAATTAGTTTCCAAGAAGCTCCTATATACTTCTCGCAGCTTCAGCTTCGTAGAAAATTACAGAAATATTATATTTATAAATGCTTTGGATAGTTTGAGAAAATAACCATCATCGAATTCCCTCGCACACTTTTATCTTTTATTTCTGTTTCTTTACGATTTCTATATTCCGGCTTGATCGGGAACTCGCGCCAAAACAGTAACTGTGAATCAACTCTACGAAAACAACAGAAACGACTGTCGTTTTCTTTTTGTGCCCGACATGACCTGGACTTGCTTCCCATAATTGTTCTCGAACAAGTGCACTAGGGATCCAAGGCAAAACAAACAATAGAGAATAGAGTGTAGACGATTGATGATTTTATTAGTTATCCAGTTCTACAATAATTTATATTATTTTCTAACGTGCCGCAGTGCATGGCGCAGTCGATGTTCCAATTGACCTTGTAAAGATAAAGCTCATTACCACAGTCGACATCTTAAGTTGATGAAGTTTCTGATATAAAACAATTGCTGCGTTCTTTATTGTTCTGATTGGTTAGTCGATCTTTGGGTACGATATTTCTTTTGATCTGTGTTGTCTCCTAAGTTGTCGTTTGATCTGAGTTGTCTTCCAAGTCACTGTAACGTAGTCCATTGGTTAAACTTATAAGGCATCAAAGAAACGATGGGATAATGAAATAAGAGAGCGAAAATGTTATTTTTATTGTATTAACTTCCTCTGATGGACGACGGCAAAATAAATCGAATGAGAGGGTATTACAATAACTATATTAGGCGCTATATATCTAAGGCCGGAATGATAGATATATCCCTGAAAAACTACAGGCGACTTCTGTGTTCAAAAAGAGAAAACTCGAGGGGAAGAAGGTCAATGGCCAGATTCAATGTGGGAAAACAGAGTCTCATAGGTCGCATAAACAGTATAGATCACATAGAAGACGTACAGACGTTGCATAGTTCGAATAGTCAAAAGCCGCAAAAATCTCAGAAAAATTGCATTTTATTTGACATGCGACTTCCTTGCGACATCTGCAGCTATTCTATCCCGTAGTGCAACGTGAAAGAATATAGAAACGAATTTTTGAAACAAGGGTCCTCGAAATATTGAATGCAGTTAAATTTCGTAGATAACCCTCTTTACCCAGAAGTCCGTATAAGCAAAGAAGGACAACCGGGAGGTGATATTAAGAAAAATAATATTGCGCATAGTATAAGCGCAAATGTCTCGTGGCGTAGTATCCATGATTGTGCCGATCTCACTATGGCTACAACTTCTTGCTGTTTACCACATTCTAGAAATGCAACACAATCGCAGGTTTTGCTTATGTATATGGACAAACCAACTTGAGGCGTTTTCTTTTTTTCTTCTTTCTTTTTATATTTTTTGATATGTTTTCACGGCCAACGTTCTGGCAAGATCATTATTCCTTATTGTTGCTGACAGACACTTTCTATAAAAAGTGATATAGAAAGCGCTGCAAACAGTTTATTCACTTTTTCTTTTTGGATGGAGTGCCAAATGAAGGTCGTAGCCACGATATTGGCGTAACTAGCATCGAGTCTGTATTACTCTCTTGTTCATCATCAGGATGATGGTTGATCTTGGCTTTAAACGATTGATCAACCCGCTGAGCAGTACTGAGAATCAATTCCTACGCAATATCGTCATCTTCAATGTTTCGCTCGCCCAATGCTTTTACCTTTAGCTGCAGAAGACTTTCAACAACTAACGTTGTTTGAAGCATACTGTTGATACTAGTAACCAATTCAAATTCGTCAAGCTGAACAAGACGATATATAGCTTCATATTCCAAATCCATGCGATAGGTTTTGCAACTTGACCCTAATATAATCAATCAATTAATTAGTAAAACAAATATCAACACATGAGTCCTTTCCTCATGGCGAAATTTTTACCATTAACCAACAAGCCGCATACTTTTGGGTTTGGGACCTCAGATTTAATCAACGCATCTAACATCAACTTCATTTCTTTTCCCAATTTCACAAGGTCAGTATAAGGGCCACCGTTTCGACCACCTGGTTTCTTGACTTCAACACAAAACAAATCAAATCTACGACCATGAACATCCACATAGGAGGTAAAATCGGGTTCAAATTCTTCATCCATGACTGTGCTCCTTCTGGGTCTCTTAAAAGAACTAGATGAGCTAGTCAAGCATGCCTCAAGCATCGCGTTGGCCCTAGCAGAAATTAAGTAATAAGACCAATATAATGAGCAATGTGGTTTCTTAGTAATGGGAGCTACCATTTATGTTTCAAGTTTTCGTCTCGGCAAAATAAATAGTCAATAAATGTTGACAAGTATTGATGGATAAATGTGTCTTCAACCAGTACATCTTCTGACCATGTAATGCATTTCTGCGTCAAGTCTTGCAAAATAAATGCAACTGAAGCCAACGTTTTGTCTCTGCTTATAATGGCGTCCAAAACGAATTTAGCAGCAAGCTCTTTAGCTGGCCAATTGTCGCGGTCATGAAAGTTAGATTTGAGCTTCTACAATTGTCCATTAGGATGCAGATTCATTTACTTCATATTAGTTAATATACCTTAGTCAGCTCTGCGCACCATACCAACCCGTTGGAAGGAATATTCAATTGTGATTCATCGTGTTGCAATTGTTGATAAACAGAATCTTGTACGAGCAAAGGAAGATGTGAAATGCAGGATCGTTGACGATTACGAGAAAAAAGAAAGACGAAGTTCAACGATCTGTTGACGAGTAAGTGAAAGATATCAGTACTGATTATGAAGCTTGAAGTTCTCTCCAGGACAGTTACAGTATCCTTCCATCAGATAGAGATTTTGGCTTCTGATTTTCTTTTATCGATTTCAGTCTGTATGTCATCAAATATTCGGAAATATTGGCTTCGCCTAAAATCCACTAGTAAATAGTATAAGAGTAAATCATCGAACGCAAATATTTAATTTAACGTACCCTCGCATTTTCGTGATAAAGGTTACAATCAGTAGTTCCACCAGTGGCTGCGTAATCATAACGAGACCGCCGCCTTGGATGAGCATCAGCGCTTGACCATGACAACTTTGAATTGGTCCGTGCCAGCTCCACATTGCTTGATGATTCGGTACCGTCATCAGAGGTAAGCTCCCCTAAGGATGACGTTAAAATAAGTTTAAGGTATGATTGCTAACTATCACATGCCACAACGACGTTTGGATGTAGTATACTCTCATCATGGCTACATCCTGGACGTTTGTAACCCTTGTGTCTATCCTGCTGTTTGATACATGGAATTATTTAGTCACGACTTTCCTTCCCCTTTCTCGCCTGCCCTTTCGCACACTTACAGATGGGTAACTGATACTACCACCAAACATGTTTGAAATACAGGTGACCACGGAACCTTCAGCAGCTGATATATGGTTGGTGGGTCGTTGCTCAATTCTCTCCATGATACGTGTCAACTCTGTCTCGTTGAGCTAGCAATGCAGCTGTTGCAAACCAGTCTTTTTTCTTGCCCTCGATAAACGCTTACTTTATGATTTTTATGGAGATCTCCAATGTATGCTTTTAATTCTTTAGGCAGATTCTGATTACTTAACCAATCCAGATCGGTATGATAGTCGTTCACAATCCTTTTTATATCGCCTTTATGGTGTTTCTCAAGCTGAGGATGAGTAGCCCGGATGTAGTTTATGAGATTCCAATCTTGCGCACCAAATCTACTAAAAAATTGTCTATCGCCTTCTGTCGGAAAGGGTACAGTGAACTTCTTAAAGTCTCGTGGGCAAGCCATAATTATAGAGTTCCTTGGACACGAGAGCAAGTTCGCATTATAATTGGAACGAAAATTCCAGCGCAGCCAAGATTATTATTAACAAAAAAACCCTTATATCACCCTTTCTCTATTAAAGAAATAACTTTTGGTTACTCAGCTACGCATTCTTATTGGCTCAATGGACAGCTTTTACGCATTGTGATTGACAGTCGGAATTTCAGTTGAGTTTTCCTGATTGAATATGGGTTTACGGAGAATTCACTATTTGCTCCGCTATTGTAGAGAAAATCAGTCAAATTAGGCGCGTGGGACAGAATATACAACGCGAGGCCCAAAGGGCCGAGCTGATGATTATCTTAGTCAAAGCAATTTAATAGTGTCGGGACTTGATTCACTGCATCCTTGGGGGTCCAGGTTCTCCCTGGACTACACGGACACGAATACCTTGCTTATATCGGATTTGATAAGCCTTATCATCATTATATCGGTAGAATAAAACCTTTTAGTGTTCCTGAAAGCCACATTATTATTAGCTTTTTTTTCGGATTTACTTTACTATACACGTCTGCTTCTTATTTATCATTCCTGCAAACTTTAACAGTTGCTCTGAAGATAATTGAAC